TCACAATTACACCGCAATTGGTCTCCTTCCAAACAAAAGATTGGCAGCAGGTGCCAGTCAGAAGTAAATCTCTCCAAAGCGTTAGCTGCTTTCTGACCAGCATTCTAACACCATGGCTAGTGGGCACAGCTCACCTCTGCTGCTGTCTGCCTGGTAGCCCTCTCCCAGCCTTCTGTCCCGTTCCCCAGCCAGCCAGGCCCAGCTGGTCCAGGCCTGGTCTGACCGGCTGGGCTGTAGTTGGCAGGAAATGTAACAATCATGAAAAATCAGCAGAGGGGTCGTGATGTCCGGCTGTAGCAGGATTCTCCAAGCCCTAGGGTCATGTTCTCTGGTTCCTGGCGTGAGTGGCCCTCGCCCCTCCAGCTGGGCTGGGGGATGTTGGCAGGAGCAGATTGGGGTGAGGGTTACATTCCTGTATGCACCACGGCCAGAAGCAATGAGCCCAAAGCAGATGTGGTCCTTCATTGACCGTTGTCTTTGGGGTCAGGCTGGGCCTTAAGCACAGGTGCAGCGAGGGGCTGCTTGGGGGCCTGCTCCTTTGGAGCGGCTGCACACTCAGCAGTTCATCCGCACTCCTGCCTCCTTTCGCACAGTGACACCGGAGCAGGAGGAAAAGCGGTTCATTGCCGGACTCTCCACCTGCCAGGCTGTCAGCCGGGGGGCAGCCTGTGCCCTGGGACCCCACTGTGCTGCGCTGAGGCCCTGCTCAGGAGGGGAAGGGGAAACAGCAAGGGACGTTGTCAATCTGAGTCCTGTATTCCCTGACCCCTGTGGCTATTGCATGGCCACTTGGCCAACACCCCGTCCTGTGTGCTAGGCCCAGCCCTTTCTGTTCTCTGCCCTCTTCCAGAGCCACCCTGCCACGTACACGCACAGGCTGGGGCCTGTCTCCTCCTCCCTCGCCCCACACAACTCAAACCCACAGCTGCGGCCTCTCCCCGATGCCCAGAGTTCACACGCATCCGGGGTCTCCCCATCTCCCACCGACTCCGTAGGGACATAGGACAAGATCTCCTGGGTCATCGGGTCCAATCCCTGCTATCGCAGGCAGCCCCTCCTATACTCCCCACAACAAACGTATCCAGCTCTATCTCAAAGCTAGGCAGGTTGTCTGCCCCTCACCCTTCCGGAGCTTCGCCGCTCTGGTGGTTAGACACCTTCTTCTCATTTCCAGCTTGGATTTACTGCTGGCCGGTTCATGCCCCCTCTGCCATGGCAGGCCCCCCTCTCCGCTCCACTTTAAGTGCCGCTCTTAGGGGTGCTCTGACCACATCAGCTCCTCTTCGAAGCCCTCCATTAGCTCACTGCCTCACCCAGTCTTTGTTCTGGCTTTTAAGGCTTTCCCAGCTCTGCTCCTGCCACAGTATCCAATGGCATAACCCCCATCTCCAGTCCGCCAGGGACACCAGCCCCTCGACCTGCAGAGGTCCCCGCGCTGCCCCCAGCGCAGCATCACCCGCCCTGAATGGATCTGCAGGGCCATTGCCTTCCCATCGCTGGGTGCGGCGCCGCTGAGGGGAGTGTGCAGGTTCCGTTTTAATGGAGGCTAGTGCTGCTAATTAGCCAGCTCCATTGAGCTCCTTGGTTTCATTACGCTCCCCTTGGGACTTTCTGGCCCCTGGGCTGAACTGGCTCGGGCAGGCTCGTGCTGCTGGAGCAGGACACGGAGAAGAGTGTGCGCGCACCGGAGAACAGGCTGTGGTGGGCGGAGCAGGCTCCATCACACCGAATGCGTGGCTGGGTGCTTGGAGCCGGGCAGTGAATTGCCCCCTGAGATCTGACCTAGCCGGCTTGTTCAGTGCAGCCTCAGCGTCTCACATCTCTGGGGTGCTCTGAAAGGACCTGGCTTTGTTTCACCAGTCGCAGCGTTGGGTCGGTTAGAATGACAGTGGTTATTCGAGAGGAAATGCCAAGAAAATGGGGAGAGAGGACAGCGCTTCCCCACTGTTCCCTCTCCTGTGGGGTGGGTGTGGCGAGATCTCCACCTCTTTATCTGCCTTATACCCTGTGCATTGCTGTGTGGCATAGCACTTGCCCATGGAGTGAGCGCTGGGTGCGCTGGGCAGGGCGTGGAGGGGAAAGGAGTGTGGCTGTCAGGCTGTTCCTTTGCTCTGAGCGAATGTTCAGGACGCTCGTTCAGTGCGTCCCCTTCACTCCGAGCAGTCTAGCCACGTCACTGTGAGCCAGGTGCCCGCTGCAGACACCAGCAAGCTGGGAAAGAGAACAGCTATTGGCTGTCTTAGGAGTACCCTGCTAACCTCAAACACGTCCGCCAGAAGTGTCCCAGCCTGGGGTTTTGAAAATGCGGTAATGTGCTGTCCTAGTGCAGAAGCGAATTGTCTTGTGAATGGGGGCAGCTGGTTGCTTTGAGAACACTAACTGTTCTGGGGTGACTTGATAGTATTTAGCATTCTGCTGGGAACATGAAGAATGTTAACTCCTCTTTCAAAAGTAGCACATGACTCCACTCCTATTGCCTGAGCAATAGACCTGAAGACATTTAACAGCCTCAGTTCGGGCCAGATTCTTTAAATTCATATGCACCTATTTCTCTGATCCTGCTAATTTAATGGCAGACTCGTAAGCCATTTACCAGCAAAGGAAACAGACAATAAGCTGAAGGGAAGGGGACAATATATCTCCTCATAAGAACGTATTTAGAGATGTCACCCTTGGCTTGCAGGAAATCATTTAGAGAGCTTTCAAAAGAGAATCATTCCTGTAAAAAAATTGAAATCAAGATTTTAAGCTTGCAGAGCTGTAATTACAAGGCCTGTGGTGATTTCTGCTCAGCGGAGAAGGGTCATTTCATCAACAAATCTGGAAAAGCCGAGCTTTTGTCTCTTCCCTAGGAGATGTTGTTTCTAGCACATGGAAAGAGGGAGCTTTTCCAAACACCGTTTTCACAGAAGGGTGACTTGGGGTTTTTGGGGCTAAAAATTAAATGTTGATCCTATTCATAAAGTAATGCTGCATCCTGGTGGAAACCGCGGCGGAAAGATGGACCTAAGGAAGCAGTGCTAGCCATGCTACAACTTGTTTCCTTTTGCACCACGTCCAGCAGCCAGTGCCTGTTGGTTTTGTGTCGTCCCCGCAGGGATACAAGCTGCGCTGAGTGGGCGTGTGCAGTGCGGTGTTCCCAGTACTGGAGCCCACGGGTGGTGTTGGCAGCTGCTGCCCTGTGTGCCGGGTGCTGAGGCCTGTGTCCCTGCCCCGCCCGGGCAGCAAAGCAGAACAGGGGTGACTTCTCCAGGTTTTCTGTCCCCAGCGCTGCAGTTCTGCTCCACACCCATGGCCAGGCGGGTGGATTGGAGGCTGCTCTTGATGCTTAGTAGCTCGCACAGTTGCCGTGTAACTGACTTGCCTCTGGCATGGACAGCCTACGCGTCATTGCATTTGCCTGTCGTTTGATGCCCGTGGAAACGAGGGGCGCTGCTCGCTACATACCGCCACTGTATCCGGTGCAGTTAGACAACTCCTGCCCTTCTGGGACAATGCGCCAGGCAGACTAGTGCCAGGGCAGCTCTGAGATGTGCCCCCCTCGCTACTGGCCAGAGGGGGCATTGCAGTTCGATTCCTCCTCCCCACTGTGCCCAACCCTTCAGGAAGGGGGAATTAAGGCTAATCGATACAACTGGGCACCCGAGCAGGGAGCCAGGGCCAGAAAACACTTTATACGGCACCTTCAAAGCAAATCCCTGCAGTCCTTGGGCTCGCTCAGGGCCGGGTGCCAAGATGGCTTTGGGCAGGAGTGCGGGGGCACGCGAGAAGCCCCCTTCTCTTGCACTGCTGCCATGTGGACATCTCACCAGAACTCACTCCTGCTCGCTAGCCCCTCCCAGGAGCCAGCAGTGACGAGAGGGCCAGGAGAGGCAGGGCCATGCTGGCACCACCCCAGCCTGGCTGGCACACGAGTGGGGGTGCTGTTCCCATCCCCCAACCATGCCCAAGGAGCTGCACTGGCAGAATTCTGGCTCCTTGTTCTACCCCCATTGCCGCATTCGCTGCCGGAGACACAGTCACCTGGTGGGGCAGGGTGGCCCCATGCCACCCCCTGCGCAGGGCTGTGGCCAGAAAGCCCCAATCCAGCCCGTAACATGCCTCTGTCCTTGTCAAGGCCCAGGGAAAGGCGGGGCCCTGCTGTGCTGGGAGGGTTCGGCCGGGCTCGGGAGAGGAGGGGCTTGCTCCGTCTGCAGAAGTCCCTGTGCCGGTGCTCTGAGGGTTGGACTCTGCGGGGCTCGGGGCCCTCGGCAGCAGGAATCCAGCCGCCTGCTGATTCGAAGGATGTTGCTGGATCCCTCTCGGAAGGGGTTTTGCACAGGTGCCTGTTACCTGCTGGTGGGGGTGGGGGCTGCCTGGGGTTAGGAGCCGGAAAGCTGCAGCCTGACTCCTCTGCAGCACCTGAGACCCCCAGGCCACCCCGGGGAGAGTTCAGCCTCTTGCAGGGGCTGACAGAGCAGGGCCTCACGTTCATTTAAAAGGCTGAAATGTGTCACATCTCCAGGCCCGGGCCCTTGGCTTTTCCCGGCCCGAGTCCCTAGCTAGCCGCAGCAGGGAGCTGGCGATGCTTAGCTGTCCTGGAAGGGGCCACCAGCCGTTCTCAGGCTGCCCCGCCCCTAGTGCAGCTCCGGACCAGACCAGCGCCCTGGGGAAGGAAAGGGCTGAAACCCCAGAAGTTTCTGGGAACGAAGGCTCAAAGCCATTGAAAGGGCCCGTTCTCTCTGGGGCCTGCCGGGCACTGCTCCATGGGGGCTAGCGTCCGCACAGAGCCAGGGCTCCCCATTGGCATGGACCGGCTGTCTGTGCTGATGCAGGGAAGACCTCGCACGCTGCAGACAAAAGTCTGGTCTGAGCGTTCTGTGCTGGTGGACCGTCTCGCGGTTCTTACGCAGCAGTGGCATGTGGCCACCAAAGAGGAGCTGCATTTTGATGCTGACCTCTTAACTGTGTCCGGGCGGGTTGTGCAGGTACTAACACCCTCTCCTTTGCTTCCTTCACAGGAGCAGTCAAGGTTTTATGCACATGAAACTGACAAAAACCAAAGAGAAATACATCCTGGGTCAGAACAGCCCCCCGTTTGACAGCGTCCCAGAAGTCATCCACTACTATACCACCAAAAAACTGCCCATCAAGGGCGCAGAACACTTGTCCCTGCTTTACCCTGTAGCTGTCCGGACCCTATAACACTCCACTCTCACTCCTTCCTGTGGATGGGAGGGGACGGGCAAGCAAAGAAGCAGGAATTCATGCTGCATCGATGACCAGAACTCAGAAACTCGAGGTTGAAATGGAGATGTCCTGCCTTTCATTTCTGATGTGTGCTGGCTGTCTGGAAACTGTTAGACAGTCCTGTGTGTATGGTACTCTTGCACTACTGTGTTTCTGTTTCCATGTGATGAGAACAGAGAACCTTCCTGGGGGATATTTCTGTGAATGAAAAAATGTTTCCAAATCCAAAGAACTGCCGTCAAGGGTAAATAAAGCCAACATCTCCCTTCAGTCAGGAAACTCCAAGGATATTTGTTCATACACAGGTATTAAGTCAGGAGAGTGAAAGATCAAAAAATCTTCCACCGGTGACATGCTGTCCTAACAGACACTGAAATGGATGCAGATTCTTTCAGGGCTCAAGGAGAAATCGGCACATGATCGGCTTAACGTGCGAGTCCTCGCAGCTCTGCCCACTCACCCCGTGTTAGTGTGTCTCTTCACGCACAGTTTGTCAGGATGATCCAAACACAAGTCTTTTGTCTCGCACAGTGTGACTAGGAGATCTTAATGAGTAATTTTACAATAGCAACATGTGTTTGATTATTTATGAATAGGGTATGTAATTAAAATAGTGGTTTAATATATATATTTTTATCATTTTTTGGTACATTAATAAATCTCGGAGGGTTACTGCGTTCATTTTGCAAGTGTCATTCCTAGATCAAGGCAGGCAGTTGATTCTCATTGTCCGCTGTGCCAGTGCAGCGGGCGCTGATATGTCAGCAGTGGCAGTACGTCATCTGAATGTGACAACAGGCTGGGTTTCAGACCTCAAAAGGCAGGCAGAGGCCACGCTTCTTGTGCTCATTTTATCTGGGCAAATAATAGTCCCACTGGGGCAACTGACCAACGGCATCCAAGATGCTTTCCACCTCTGGCATGGAAGAGCATGTGATGGATGGGTTTTCCAGCTCTCCAAGAGAGACGTACAGTGTGTAGGAAAACATGGCTCTGTGGCACTGCGTGTTACGGGGAATTCTTGAAACTTGCATGCGAAGAGCCTGGTGCTCCTGCATATGGAACTACTACGGTCAGTGGCATTTCCTCCCCCAACAGAATATCCAGAGTTTAGGATACTGGAATTTAGGGCCAGAAGCGACCACCAGATCATCCCGTCTGAGTTCCTGCACATCACAGGCCAGCCACACACTAAACCCAGAGATGGAAATGAGACCAGGGTCTTGCAGCCCCCCGGAAACGAGACTATCACGTGCTGCAGGCACAGAGCAGGCGGGACCAAGGGGCACCAGTTCCTGAGGCCCATGTAATGGCAGGGAAATAATTAAGTGAGAGAGACCCAAACAAGCCTGGCAAGTGACCCCCACCCACACGCTGCAGAGGAAGGTGAAACCCCCCCAAGGTCACGGACAATCTGACCTGGGGGAAATTCCTGCCCGAGCCCCCACATGGCAATCAGTTAGACCCTGAGCACATGGGCAAGAACCAGCCAGCTGGGCTCCTGAGAGAGAGACTGCTCGATGCCACCTCCAAGCCTGGTCCACCCCGCCCAACGTCCCATCTCCAGCCATGGCCATCCCTGATGCTTCAGAGGAAGGAGATCCCTTCCTGACTGCTGCAGATGGCCAGCTGAAGCCGTGAAGCATGAGCTTTAGGGACATAAGGTAGAAGTGAGCCCAAGGGCTGTCGGGCCCCGACCTCTGCCATCACAAGCAACTCTGTCATAGCCGATCTGTGTGTAGCTGTATCTCATTACTGTCAGCTGGAGAAGCTGTACTACCTCCACAGTACAAATGCAGCGGCCTCCCCAACTCAAGAGATGGCTGGCACGCTCTTTGTACGCCTGCTGAAAAGGATAACTGACAAACTGTGTTTGCACGTGAATGCTGGAACTGGTGAAATCCAGTAGCCAGGTAGTCCCGATCCGGGTCTGTCATCACCTTGCTGTCTAGAACACTGTGTATTTATACGTCAGTGACTGGAGCAGAGATTTGGTTACTTGCAGTTTACAGACTTTACAGACTGCAGTAAGGCTGTGAAAATGTCTGTTATTTAATTCACCTTTCTTTCCAACTCTCTCCCCCTCATACATGCTTTGAAATAAGTGCTGATTGAGAAGTGTAATGGAATAATCATTACTCTAATGCCTGTAAAATACTGCTTCATTGTACTGTATAATGTGAAAAGAACCTCCAGGATGTTCCATAATGATGTTTCCAGATTGATAGTAAGCATTTCGCGGCCTGGTGGTTGTTTTTTTTTTTTTTTAACCCTATCTGTTCCAGATGTGAATTGGGTATAGAGAATTCCAGCATTAGTTAGAACAAGTTTGTGAGCTGGTTGTTAATACCAAGGAGAGCTCTGTGTAATACCGTGGTCAGCTCATGAACGCTCCGGCTGAATCTGCATTGCAGGAGCGTGGCCGTGGTTTCCTTACCCTTGAAGTGGGGGTTGTGTGATGGTCTTTACAAATGGCTAAACTTACCTTACAGGTTCCTTGTTTATCTGCTCCTCCATGACTCCCCCAGGACACAGGCAGGCAGTGATCTCCCAGATGTTACTTCTCAGCTATGGGGACGTGGGAGCCACTTTCGGTTTAACATTGGGGCAGGTGGGAGTGGAGAGAGATTGTAACTTAGGAATTCGCTGGGACCCATGTAGCCCAACTCCCCTCCCTGTCCAGAGCAAGGAGGAACCCTGGGAAGGGTGTGTCTGAGTCCCCCTGCCACGAGGGTGGGGCTGCTTACATACCACGCCTGGCTTGGGGCTACCCCAAGGCATAACCTTAGCCTAGCCTTCCCTGGCGATCCAAACTTCCAAGCTGCCCTTTTCCCTGTTTCGCATGTTCAAGTCCGTTTTGTTTTTATTCTGTAACTTGTCTCTCCATGGTTTTGCAGTGGAATAATCATTTTAGATCCCCACGTCTTCACCACGATGAAGTGCAAAGAACAGGAGTCAGTTAAGGGAGAGCCTAGCCAGGCTTTTATGAGCTGGGGAGGTGGAGGGGGAGGAATTGTCAAGTAGGGTTTTGTACAAGGGCCAAATCCAAATGCCATTGACATGGGTGGGAGTAGTTTCCATGAACTGTGGATCAGGCCCGACACGATTAATGCAGTCAGATCAAACCCCTACAGCCATGTGTATAGCCCGTAGTACAACTCTGAGAAACAAACTGAGGCCTGGGCTACCTTAGAAAATTAGGTCAGTTTAACGACGTCAGTCAGGGGTGTGAATAATCCACCCCCCAGAGCGGCATGGTTAGGCTGACCGAGTCCCCATGGGGGCAGTGCTAGGTTGACCTAGCTGCCAGCTCTGAGAGGTGGGTCACCTACACTGCTGGGAGAGCCCTTCCTGTTGGCAGAGGTATTGCTGCACTGAAATGCTCCTGGAGCATCTAGGTGTAGACAAGCCCTGAGTTTGGGAAAGGAAATCATCTCTCCAACCAATGTTTTCTAACGGGAAAAACAAAACAAAAAAGACTTTGGAAAAAATAAATTGCTCAGTAACTGCAGCATAAATAAAAGCAGGAGTTTGTTTGCACTGTAATGTTGTCTTTGTTTATTTAAGTGATTGTATGATATTTTTCCAGTTTAAAAAAAAAAAAACCCTTTGTAACGTACAGTGAAAATGTGGTCTGTTGCAGTTTGTGATATTGCTTATGGCTGAGAGAACAAGTAGCAATCATGCCTGTAAAGCCCATTAAAAGTTTATTTTAAAAAATTAGAAACCTCTCCCTTTTCTTCCTCTAATTGTGGAGATTTCCTCTTTGTCCGCATGGATTGAGCTTTTCATGAACAGCTAACAATTGAAGCTATTATTCTCTTGGAAAGCAACTTGCATTCGGGTTTCTTAGGTTTTGTAAGGCTGGCTTGTCAGCAGCGTGCAGTGAAAATAATTATTATGCCATATTCTATTTAGTCCACATTCTGCCAGGCATCTCAGCCCTATTCAATATTCTGCCTTGCCAGTTACCTTCAGTAATTCCCGCCCCCCCTGCAGAGGGTACAGCACAAGGTCTAGGGTAGTGGTGCCCAAACTTTTCATGGTGTGCTCCCCCACCCCCTTACCAGTAATGGAATCTGCCTGTGCATGGGCCCCCCCCCCAATTACTGCACAGTTGGCTCAGCAAAGGAGCTTGGGCTGATGGCAGAGCTGCGCGGGGGAGGGAGGAGCTGGGGCTAGAGGTGGAGAGGGAATGAGGGTGGAGCCAGGGGGCAGAGTGGAGCTGCAACTGGGGTCAAAGCGGGGCAGGTGGGGGCTCCCTCCTTGCCCCACATGGGGGCTGGCCCAGCCCCTGCCGTGCGCCCCTCCAACATTCCTCCGTGCCGTCCCAGGAGGGTGTGCCCTACAGTTTGGGGACCACAGTCTAGGGCATCATTTCAATGCCACAAGGCACCACTTTAACCCCGTGGTGTACGGGCAAGGAGACCCATGCCCTGTAAGTATATGTTTGGCTGGGAGACCCACTCTTCTCTCTTCCCTGTGTTCTTGCCCTTGGGCACTGTTACTCTCCGATGCATAAAGCAGTAGGGTAAAAGTGATTGAACTCCGCACCGTTGTGGTGCAGCTGATGGTTGTGGTTGTAGAACTTGGACTATCTGCTGCTGCTGAAGGATTTTTCCACATTGTGCAGCATTTGCCCTAGTTTGCAGCGTATTAAAATGAAAATCAATGATGATCAAATACCTCTGGGGCAAAAGGGTAGATAGGAACCAAAAGCAGAATGAAGTGCTGAAGCTGGGTATTAATATGAAGAAAAGAAACTGCATTGAATTCAGCCCATTAATATTCCTACCTGTTTATTCTTCTTCTTCTTCTTCTTCATTTCAGTCTGAACTCAGGCAGGTCCTTGCCATCTGGTGGGCTAGCGGGACTTTCCGTGTCACGTGAAGTGGTGCTTTCGCCGTGGCTCCACCCAGCCATGCCAAGAACCTCCGTAGCCGTGGCCCCTTTGCTGAAATCAGTCCCAGAAGGTGCAGGTTCTGAATGGGCAGAGTTGGTGCCCAACTTTCCAGCAATGGGCTGAGACTTCGGCTGCCCAATCTAGACCACGAGTGGCTGCTTTCAGAGGTGCTGAGCGCAC